TAATTTTGACAATCTCTCAAAATTTTTTTATGGACAATTAAGCATAAGACTTGTCTTGACATTCAAATTGATTTCTTCTACCTTAGTGAAAAAGGGCATCCAATCATTCTGAGGTTCTGGGGGATCATTTGTGACAGCAGGATGCAGATAGCGAAGGAGCTAGAGTTTGTAGCAGGGAAAGTGCTCTCTGAAACCCTCATGAGCAGCCATGGTAGCCTTCACGGTTAAGTGGTAGAGATGGCCTAAAGGATATCATGTCTAGTAACCATAAGGTAGCTCTTTCATGCAAAATGTCTCCCATCTGCCTTTCATTTAGCCACAGAGCTTAAAAACATATATATCCCTGGAAAGTTAACTTAAATTATAAAAATTGGAGTAGACAGTAGTTACCAGATTCTTTCTAGAATAGAGGGCAAAGAGATCAAGCTTGGAAAGGAGTTCCTGGAAAGAAAGGGGACACTTGGGCACCCGCATGCTTCTCCTGGCTGCCATCTTTCCTTCAGTTCCTAGAGTATGATGGAGCATTTAATTCCAATTCTACTTCCTGATTTATACTGAAGTTTTCCATTACAGCGAGAACTCTGTTCTTAACTGTAGCCTGCCTGGGTATAATCAGCACACTTGGGAGTTCTGCAGAGCACAGCCAGGGGAGGAGTAAACAGTGGACCTAGCTGGAGCCCCCCTCAATGAATTTAAATCTGGCTTCTCTGTCCCTGAAGACAAGGCCTTCAAAAGATCAGAACTCCAAGAATTCAAGAACAAGTCTTAGTCATCCCCAGAGCTCTAGTTCCTGGCTTAATCTCACAACGTAAGAGGCCCCAATAAATGCTGTTTAAATGTTTCTGATCTTGGGAGTTTGCCTATGCTATATTATTTTGCTTCTTGTGATTTTAGCTGCTGGTCTATTTACTGGGACCTGTTCCAGAGATGAGATATCCTCAGGTGTTGCTCCTAATTTTTTAAATACTTTTCTTTATTCATTCTTACCTGCTATTAATATCTCAGAAGTGCTTGTTGCCTATCCCTCATAGAAAAAAAAGATACTTTAAATAATGAGGGCTCATAAAATATAATGCAGTTTCTAGGGCTCTAGAAGCAAATTTTAAAATAAATTAAAATGCCTAAATGCTTTAGCAGTATAGTTATTCCACCAAAAAGAACCCATGAAATCTGAAGCCCATGAAGATACTTTCACAATGTCATATGTCATTGAATTTGAGCCCCCATTTATTTTCTTTTAACCTAGTGTTTCTTCCCTAATGCAAAAGATCCTGCTAACTGAGGTGTCATCATCCAAATCCTAACTGTGCACTTCAGAAATGTGTGAGCTGAATAAAAGGATTGGATGGAAGTATAAAACCTCCCATACCCTATTTACTATAGCATGGAATTGGGAAAACTAGGCACCATGCTTCACAAGAAGACGAGAGAAGTAATATACCAATATTACCAATATAGAAAGCTGCATTGTCTTCACTGGCAAAATCGTCCAGGTAGGCAATGCCCAGAGGCTGAATGGGAGTTTCTCCTATTCCACGGAGAAGGTTTCCCAGGAAAACATAAACCCACATGGAGGAGCTGGCATCAACTTCACATTCTTAAAGGGAAAACAAAGAAGAGGTCTGAAATTAGATTTCTATCAAAGTTAAATATTTATTCTGCATTTCTACAATGTGTCCTAAAACTGGATTAGAATGCAAAAATTTTTGCAGTAGTCATAATTTGATATGACTTTAGGCAAGTTTGGAAAACGTTTTATACTTTCCTTCTTTCAGTCAGTGTAAATCCCCTGCAGACTTCCCCAAGGAACTCTATTATTACTTCTTGTTCCTCTTCCCTTTGCTGCTTATTTTCTGTCTTCTTATTTTCCATCTAAACTGAGCTTTTTGCATTCCCACACTTCAATAATATTCAATATCCTATCTGGGGCAAACATGAAATTTTGAACAAAGGCTTTCTCACTTTAATTTTTAAAGGACTTTAAAGGAGCAGGACCTCATTCAGAGTCTACTACTCTTTGTCTGTCTGGTAACTTGTCCCTTCACATCAAAAGCATTTTAATTCCCTGACTCTAAACTTTATGTTTCACTTTTTTACACTCACATTTAAGTATTTCCTAACTGGTTGTACTGCCATTTATATCATGAGTCTTCTCTGATTGTCAAAAACCAAACAAAACATCTTCACTGACTGTACGTCGTGTACAAATGAAACTACAAACCCTTTAGTCAGCTCCCTGCCTTTTTATATGGACATAATTAAATTTATCATCTGTTATATTCTTACATAAACAATCGCTCTGTTCTTGTCCATTGATTTGTGTGTGTCCTCCTGAAAGTATCTATTACTCTCTTTCACACGTTCCTCTTTTCTCTTCTTCTAGAATGTATTTCTTCTTTTTATATAGCAGGAGAGGGTAAACTTTTCACATTTAATGTTCTCCCCTTCCCACCCCTATATTTCCATGTTTTTTTCAGTCCCTTGGCCTTTCCCTTCATTTGAGCAGCCAGACCTTCAGTGTTTATTGCACGGGGAAGGGACATCTCAACAGAAAGTATTAATGAGGATATTATGGGAGTGAAAACGTTTTATGGACCAGATAAAAGATTTGGAGCAATGGCATGTATATAAAAGAAAGGCTTCCATTCTGCCTGGATAGAAATTGATTCCCCATGTTAGACATAGGGAGCGAAATGGGGCAGGGGGGAGCGGTGGCAGGGAGGGAATGTGGAGCAAATGATGCTGGAGGGAAAAAAGAGGGTTTGTTCACCTACTTTTACTGAGTCCTAGAGATGTGGCAAGCACCGGTGAATAAACTTGTGGACTCTATGAGCAAAGGAAACCTGTGCCACCGTGGCCAGGTAGAGCCCAGGGAGGTAGCAAGACTCCAACTATGAAATGGCTGCACAGCCCAGCTCAGCATCCCTGCCTTTGGCTCCTTATGGGATTTCCAATGTCTAGAGTGATAGAGAAGAGATGATTCCCATGTTCCCAAGGTGGCTCAGACAAAGCATTGCCATGCCACATGCACCAGCCATAAGGAACACTAGACAGTAACAAAATTCCTGTATCCTAGCTTGTGTAGAAAGTAGAATTAGTTCCGTGAATCTAGGATTGTCACTTCTGAACCAGAGAAAGCTGCTGTGCTAAAAAAAATACATATATGAATATGGGTATAAGCTGACCCCATGGTGACAGGGATGACCAAACACTGTGACCTGAGGGTTTTAGATAGCTAAGCTGACAAGGAACATCAGTAACCCCTCTGACTATTATGTAAGCTCCCTAGAACATAAGCAAGCCCTGGGGAAAAGGATGGAAGTTAGGGACAAATTGAGATTAAGTTTTTGCCATTCTGATGAAAAGGGACTGAACACAGAATTTACATTGATTTATGGGGAAAAATCATATTTTTTTCATATCTGAGTGATGGACTAAGATTTGTACATGCTAGACTAGTCTTACACAGCTTTCAAGACCCACCTTATTTGGAACCACTGAACGATTTTCCCAGTCACCAGCAATTAATACTCTTTCTTTCCATATTATTTGAGTATCTGTCTATTTTGTTTAGATCTCATCACATACTGCTTTATATTGTAGGAATTTTTATGGCATCATCATATCTCAATTTAAGTGGTATAGCTTTTCAGAGCAAAAATCATATAAGATATTTTTGGCCATACTAAAGCACGTATAAAGTCTTCTTAAGAAGTTCGTTTAGTCAAGGAAAAAAAAATCGTCTTACCATCACTTATTTTGGATTGTGATTTTTCCAGAACTGAGATTGGTAACTGACTGCTTGACTCTAAGAGACACGGAGAGATGCTCAGAGTAGAATTGGAGAAAGGAGAATACCTCTCATATCTGTACCTGCATAAGAAGAACGTTTTTTTCATGATGAACTTGTTAACACCATACTACTGAGTTGTGTATATTACAGAACTCAAAAGGGTGTCTGGTTGAGCTTGCAACTGTCTTTGAATCTGAATCACCAAAGCAAACCAGCATTGTATAGCAGAGTTTACAGAAAAGATAGCCAGGAAATCTGGTTCATAGGTTTTATATGATATCTAGGTTAGTCAATTAGTGAAATAAAAAGTAAGAATTATTCACAGAGGCTAATTTTAATATAAAATAATGACTATATAAATCACCTTCTGTCTTGGTGAAAAAGTATCCAACACTTGATAAAATCATGATTATCTCCGAGTCAGAGAAAAAGCAATAACTTAAAAACTCATAGCCATTATCACATTGCATTCAGAGTTGTAAATTTAGTAGAACAACTGCAAGGCTGATTTTAGAGAACAGATAATAATACGTGGCTGTTTGAGCCATTTATCCAGATGGTATCCTGCTTTTCCTTTACAGTTCATTCATCTGGCTCCAAGTTACTTCTAATTCCACTCTTTCCTCTGTCTGTAAGGCTATCATGGCAGCTGGGTTGAAAGGCCAGTGCTTGGCGGTAGGACTGTGATAATGCTGTCTGCAATCCTCTAGCTCCATTTTCATACTCAAACTATCCTTCATGTGCCAAGCTCCCTGCTCCATTTGTACCCTGCAGGTAAGAAGGACCTAGCAAGAAGTTATCACAACATCATCTTGATTCTCGTGTTGTTCAGGCACCGTGTTACCAAAGGCTAGTAGTCATAGTAACATATTTGACATATTAATAGTAGAAACCTGTTTTTTCAGCATGGTAAGGAAAAGATGGATTGCATTATCAAAATATTCAAGTTGATAAATGCGTTTCCTTGTATCTGTTTTGTGTAACCTACACTTCAATGGGTTCATGAATCCCCTTGAAAAAGTAAGAACTTTCTCTATGTATATTTTTACAGGAATGTTTAAGGAAGAGATTCACAGTTTTTATCATTTTATCAAATGGTTCCCTGACCAAAATAGGTTAATAACACTTAATGAGGTTAACTGTTTTCAATTCTTAAGCAACACAGGAGAACATTTGGCATTGAAGTCATGGTAAATATAATTTTATTTTGTTAATAATTATAGAGATACCATAGACCGTCATTATGCCTCAAGGCTATTAAAGTGAACATCAATGTGATTATGTAGTATTTGGAAAAATTTTAATTATCTGACCTTTCTCAATTTTTTTGGTCAAAAGTTACTATTGCAAGCATAACAATTATGTAGACTTTGAATAAATGGAATCTTATGTAAGTGTCACTTTGTCACTAATTACTATCAGTGACACTCTAAAGAAAAATTAACCTTTTGATTTCAATTTTCTTAGTTGTAAAATGAGAGCTATAGGTGTGGTCTATGCCTATGTGAGACTGTTAGATGAAGAGACAAAGAAGTGATTGAACAGGGGACCATTGGTATAAATGTTTTTAAATTCGGTGCTTTAGTTCTGAACTGCATTCAAATCCTGACTGACACCATCTTGACTGATGTATAAAATATGACAGCCTCCTAAATAGTCTCCCTGCTTCTAAGCTTGCCTCACCAGAGTCAATTTTCCAAGCAGAAGTCAGTTTGATCCTTTAAAAATATAATTCAGATCATGTGAGTGCTCAAAACTCTCCACTGACTTCCCATCTCATTGAGAGGAGAAGCTAAAGCCTTTGCAATGGTCGGTAACCTTACTACTCAAAGGGTGGTCCGCAGACCAGAGGCATCAGCTATCTCAGCCCCAAATCCAGAGCCACTGAATCACAATTTGCAGGTTACCAGGGACCTCAGGTAATTCAAATGTCCATCCAAGTTTGGGAAATAACCTTGACCTATTCTCTCATTCCTTTTACTTCTCAGATTTCATCTTTTGTGCTTTCCCCTTGCTTATTCCGCTTTAGTTATGCAGGTCTCCTTGCAGTTCATCCACACTCCTTCCTGCTGCAGAAGCATTGCATTTGGCTAGAAGTTCATTTAGTCTAGAAGTCTCCTTCCCCAGATATCTGCATGGCTCTCCCCTTTACCTTTTTCAGGTCTTCCTCAAATGTCCCCATCTCAGTGTCCACAGAGCAGGCAGAAGTCCCAAAACCACAGATCCCTCTCCAAGTAAAAATTAAGCGTCCAGGAAATGCATCCAAATGGATAGGAAAGCTCCCATTCAGAAGATTCTGTGTCCTACCTTTACAGATTGGCCAGGGAGGTCAAAATCTGGCTATCATTATATAAGCAATTGGAGAATTCGAGCAAAAGTTCAGATCAGATCACTGTAAGTCTCTCCAGCCCTAAAATGTCATAATACAATGATCTAGAGTAGACGATATTCAAAATATCACTTGATATATAATTTTCTAAAGTATTCTCTTGCTTCAAAACCCTTTGATAGTCATTTTTCTTATGAACAGGTAAGCACAGAAAAGAGATGCAATATGGACATGCATAAAAGCTGCTGCCTGAGAAGTCAGAAGATCTGTTTCAGGATTCTGGTTTCATATCTGAAAGACACCTAACCTTGGGAAAGTCACCAAACTCTGCAAGTCATGGAGTCCTTAGCCCTAAAGTAAAAAAGATAAACTATGTTCTCCTACCCGGCTGCTTGCTATAAGGGTGAAAATGATGTCATAAAGGTGAAAATATTTGGAACTACTAAAATTGCATGCAAGTACTAACAAAAGCACAAAAAGTAGACTTTAGGGTTAGAGGACACAGACACCCCATTTCTGTTGATAAGAGTCTATGACATACTGTTTGGACATTCAATTGTTCGAGTTGATAGTATATTCCTGAGCCAATTATCTGTCACCCAGTGTACCATGATAGAGCATTTATTATCTGTGGTATTCATTCATTACTCATTTGACACTGCCCACATAATATAGATTGTCATAAGTAAATTATAAATTAGTATAGTAAATTTATAAAAGTGTTCTAAAATTTTATCCCAAAAGTATGTAATAAAAATAAGACAAAAAATTACCACGAATTGAGCTTAAATTTGAATAATTGTAATCACAAAGAGAGAAATGCAGTTGTTTGATAAGGCAAGAAAACAATGATTGCTTTAGACTTACTGCTCCATGAAGAACTGAGGCATTGCAATGAGCAATGTTCCAACTCCCATGATTAGGCAACCTGCTCCAATAATTTTTGGCCTGTGAAGTTTGGCTCCAAAGTAGCTAACAAATGTTATAACTAAGAGATTCCCTTTGGGGGAAAGAATAAAGCATTCATAAGTTAGAGAACGTAGAAAAAAGTCAACAGCATAACTGCTAATAAATGAATAAATGCATATAGCAGGCCTAGCAATGTTTTGTTTTGATTAAACCATCTCCCCGCCATCTTTCCCATCATTTACCCTTCTTTTCTTTAATCTCAGATGACTCTTGAAACTGTCTTCATATTCATAACTTCAATCACCTAATCCCTTTGTCAAAATATTTTAATTACATCCCTTCTATCTCACTATGTCCAACCTAAATTATTTGTCCTGTTAAAGTATTTTATCAGTGAATTCAATTGTAGAAGGCTTCCTTTAGTTGCTCCGTTAAATTTTCTTTAATTATTTTGAGGTAAACTTTCTTATTCTTTCTTCATTCACTTAAGTTTTCTATTAAAACTTCTATTAGTTGCTCTTCTATTAATTGCTTCTATTAATTGCTCTAACTTCTATTAATTGCTCTTGAAATGTACATTACAAACTCTCTCTTTCCCTAATATCCCTTATAGAAAAGGTAAAACAAACACAACTGTACTTCACTTTAAATGAAATCAGATTATGAAACTTATATTTACACAAATGATACTTTACAATTTGTTTATAAACTTTTTACAGAAAGACTCAAAATAGAAATAAACATCCTTCCACATAGCTTCAGCTTATATCAATTATATAACCTCAATGTATACCTATAACACAACTTTTATGAAATACAAAATCTCCATAGAATATGCCCATCTATCTCTTTCTTGAAAAATAATTATAGAAAATGTGGTTTTGAAGGTAGGAATTATGCCTTTTTAAAATGTCTCCAGTGAAGCGTGTGTTAAGTTACTTTTAGTTGATGATGGGGATAACTGATTAAAGGGAAGAGTTCTCACGCTTTGCTGTGCGTAGGGAAATGGAAACTTGTTAAAATGCAGATTCTTGGCAGGTCCCAACAGTTTCCAATCCCATGGATCTGGGGGCAGGCCAAGAAATCTGCATTTCCAATACTAGCTTGAGTGTGTTGATGAGCATGGTTCCTGGAACATGCTTTGATAAACATTTTTTAGGGTCATAAGTTTCAAGGGGCTTTAACGTTTTAGCTACATTTATTTGGAATATTTCATTTCTAAGAATTACAGTACTAGATAAAGCAAGAACTTAACAATCTCCAGCAATTGATTGTGATGGCTGACAGTTGCCCTTGCTTTGAAGTTCTTCTGGATATTTCCAATTTTCTAGCAACAGTGTGTTCCTCACATCTGTAAGCAATCATCTAATTCACTACTGTTCAGTCACATTGCCAGCTTTTGTCAACTGGAAAAAAGATCAGTAATTTTTATAGCCTTGAGGATAATAATAATGACAGTGAGAAAAGTAACTCGCATGGTAGCTCTCGTCTTTAGGGCTCCAGGAAGAATTAAGCTCTTTTCAATGTTGATATTAAGAAAATAATAATTAAGCATGAGGTTTCCCATTTGACATTTAAGTATTTAGTAGAAGACATTTTGAATCATATTATATCGGTATTTATATCTACGCCTTTGTTAATGTGCCACAGCAAACAAACCAAAATAAAGTGAACACTGACTTTTGGTTTACAGGCAGCCCCACTCCCACCTCCACCTATCCTTCACCAACAGGACACGATAAAGAACTCATATTCACAGGCTGTTTCTGCATTACATTAGTGGGTACGTTGAATACAAGATGATATGATTTCAGCATCTGTGATACCTATAAAGTTTTTGCTTCCTTTACTTAGTATTCTTTCTGAGTTCTCAGGAGATACACTTGGAAAATAAATAGCAATAAATCATCTTAAAAAATTGAGTTGGATATCAAAATTCTTTCATACCTGTCATCACCAGACTCTGACAAAGAAAACAGATCCAGAAAGTTTTACAAATATCTCTTACCAAACTTTAAGAGAGATTCTCACTCCATCTTTGTCTATCTCTCTCTGCTTGCACACCACACACACACAAACACACAATATCACGTAAAAGAAAAGCTACTCAATTCATCCTATAAGATGAACATAATAACCTTGAAACTCAAACTGGACAGGGACAATACAAGAAAAGACAATTAGCACCCAAACTTAATTATGAAGATAGATGTAAAAATCCTAAATGAAATATTAGCACACTGAATAGTGCATAAA